TCTGAATTTAGGTTTCGCATTCAGGACGTCCATGAATTTGCGGAATTGGTTGGTCAGGTTCTCCTCCACGGAGAAGTAGGTTTCATCTATGCCGCTCTTTTTGATCTCCTGGTTTATCTGCTGGACTTCTTCAGAAACGACTTCCAGGCGATCTCGCACTTTCTGGAACTGCTGCTTCATGTACTCGGCCTCTTTGCTTTCCACGTTATCCAGCGCCAGCTTCACGATCGGAGCTGCGATGGAGAACACGGGGAACAGATCTCCAGCAATGCTAGCCACCACTTCCGCGCCCTGCTCAAACACTTCCATTATGGTCTCGACGACATCCTTCTTCTGTGAAACAAGTTTCTGCAGCTGATCGGCCATCTTTCAGTTTCAAAAGCAAAAAATGTCTCTGTGTAAAATAAGATCATTATATAAGTACTTGAAACACCATAATTTTATTTTCAGGAAGTTGTTTTTAGTTTAAAGGAATAGTTCACCCAAAAATGACAGTTTGCTGAAAATGTACTCACCTTCAGGCCATCCAAGATGTAGACGAGTTCATTTCTTCATCGGAACAGATTTGGAGAAATTTAGCATTACACCAATGGATGCTCTGCAGTGAATGGGTGCCGTCAGAATGAGAGTCCAAACAGCTGCTAAAAACATCACAAGTAATCCACACTACTCCAGTCCATCAATTAACATCTTGAAAAGTGAAAAGCGGCATGTTTGTAAGAAACAAATCAGTCATCAAGTCGTTTTAAATTTTAACAGTTGCTTCTGGCCAAAATATCCATAATAGTCCATAATCCATAATAACGTTTCCTCCAGTGAAAAAGTCCATCTTCTGTTGTCTCTCACATCAAAATCCACCAACATATTTGTTTAGAGCTGTTTTAGACTGTTTTCACTTGTAAATGGTGATTTATCAGTGCACATTTCTCTCCTCACTTGGATGAGATGACTTTAGAGGACACAGCCGGAAGCAACAGTTTGAAGTTAAAACATATTAATGATAGATTTGTTTCTAAGAACATGCAGCTTTTTACTTCACAAGACGTTAACTGATGGACTGGAGTGGTGTGGGTTACTTGTGGATTATTGCGATGTTTTTATCAGCTGTTTGGACTCTCATTCTGACGGCACCCATTCACTGCAGAGGATATTCTCTCAAAATCTGCTCTGATGAAGAAACAAACTAATTTACATCTTGAAAGGCCTGAGTGCAAGCATATTTCCAGAATTTTTTTTTCTTTTCGGTGAACTATTCCTCAAAGGCTCTGATTTACTAAGGCTACTTATTTGCTTGTGCAATCGCACAAATTGCATAGGGCTTCAAGGCCGTATTGCAGGTGATTTACTACATAATATCCAAAACCACACCCATATTTAAAGGAGGCTTTTACATGTAATAATACCAAATGTTAGCCATGTAATGCATTTAAAAAAAATATATTTTGCAAAAATAGACAAAACATGCTATTTTCTTAATTGAAAAATTAAGTCAGTTTTTGTAAGTGAGGCCTTTGTCTTCTGAGTGTGGTATATGGAAAGAAACTTACATGTGTTAGTCCTTGTTTCCTCTCAACCTTTGAGTGGTCAATGTGAGTCAGGGTGGGCTTGCTGTAAAAAGATAAAAGAAATGAGAAATGTGTTATACAAACCATAAAAGCAGCAACAATACACACCAGGTGTATGTACACATGCTAACAGATGCTCGCTCTCCCCGACAACCACACCTACACATTCATGAAAGAAATGGGCCAGATGCATTCATTCAATTCAAACATGCACTAAAAGAATTGTCAAATAATGTTTGAACACTTAGTCACAGTATGCAATGCATAAAAATACAGAGGACAGACATTTCAATTGGAAACAGTTCAAATGGATTTCCCCTTTTCCAAATGTTCAATGACGCAACACAGAGTAGGCCAGTATAAAGCTTTGCTTTTTTTGTTAAGAGAAGAAAGTAGTGTGTTAGGTCATTTTAAAACTTCCTAGAAGATCATATGCACTACCAGTCCAAAGTTTGGACATACTTGACTGACTTAATGTCTTGTGATAAAAATTTTAAAAAATAAAGTTGAGTAGGTGTGTGCAAACTTTTGACTGGTCTATTACATAAGATGTCTGAACAAATGTTTACAATATAGGCTACCATGTAATGATACGATTATGACAAAATTCACCTAAACAACTGATGATTTTCCATTAACGTTTCTGGGCTGGTGCCAACAAAGGTGTGGAAATGATTAGCAGGCTAGTTCAACTAGCTGAGCAAGAACCTTTTTTCCAAAGCACCTCAGTAACCATAGAAACAAGACAAGGAAAACACCATGTCAGCTTCTCTCCAGACATCCACATTATGCTCTTTTTCACTGGGCAGTAGCTACAAAATTGCAGTGTTACAAGATGAAATCTCACTAATTTCGCAGTGTTCACCCCTCAACCAAAACAGGCCTGTATGCATATTTGAAATGCGGACCATTGTAAAGATCTGTTGGCATGGATCACACAAAATGAATGACTAATTTAATACACTAAGTGTATTAGCTTATAGCTCTATTAGCTTATAGCCTCAACTGAATTCATAACACACACACATTAAAAAAGTCAGATTTCCTATGGGTTACAATCCAACGTAGCACAATTTCAATGATAACCAGTGTTGGGGAAAGTTACTTTTAAAAGTAATGCATTACAATATTGCGTTACTCCATAAAAAAGTAACTAATTACGTTACTTAGTTACTTTTTATGGAAAGTAATGCGTTACGTTACTTTTGCGTTACTTTTTAAATCTGGACAGGGCTTGCTTGTTCGTTTTTAAAATAAAAAAGTTATATTTTTGGCAAATATAAAAGCCTTTTCACACCAAAAGTGAAATGAATAAGCCTCAGGCTGAAGGGAAAGTACATTTACATCCGTACAGTGCAGAAGAAGACATTTCAACACACTTCAGCAATAAAAAAAGACACACAAATGTTTGGCTAGAGTAATTTGTGCTTATTAGTATGGTTGAACTGGATCATCGAAGGTCAGAAGCAAAGACATTGGTTAATAGAATGAGATTAAATACATAATGATATTTGTGTTGTTTAACATTTAATTATTGCAGGTTTGCGTCATATTCTGAGTTGCATTATTTTTATTCATTTTGAGGAATACTGAATCTGTGTTTTTTTTTGTGTGAGTGAGATAAATTAATATTCATTAGCACATCAGCATATTCATATTTATTTTAGAACTACAGTAACATCTGATTTCTCAACATGGGGACAGGAGAGCTGTCAATCAATAAATTGGAAAAAAAAAGTAAACTGCATTACTTATTTGAAAAAGTAACTCAGATATTCTCTTGTAAATTAAAAAGTAATGCGTTACTTTACTAGTTACTTGAAAAAAAGTAATCTGATTACATAACTCGCGTTACTTGTAATGCGTTACCCCCAACACTGATGATAATGCATGATAAAATTATGTTGTTACAATTTTAGCTGTAGTTAATGTAGCTGAAAATATGTTTCAAGTACATTTGTCTGTTTATGAAGCAAAATATCCAAAGATTTCTGATAAAACTGGTATGAGGCCTGTTATTTAACTACATTAAAGACGCTGTCTCGAATACTTGATTCTGATTGGTCAATCACAGGCGGGCCTGGAAATATTTCCGTTACCGTTGTCCAGGGCAACTTACCATTCGTCCAGAAAACCTTTGTGTCCTTCGCGGTTTTTACAAATAATTTCAATTGAATTATATTTTACATGTAATAGGCCTACTTGATATCTTTTTATTTATTTCTATGTTTGTTTGTTAAGCAGTCGAAGTATAATACGTGGGACAGCGTAAAGTCATAATGACAGTTGGTAATTTTCGCAAAATAAACAGTTTTAAAGAGACGAGATCCCTGTCGCAGTTTATTTGCGATAACACCCGACTGACTGTACGTTGCCCCGTACCTGCACCCAACCGACGGAAAGGTAGGTTAATCAGTCCTTGTTTTTGTCCCAGGATGCAGATTAGTTCATAAATCCACCGAAACTTAAGAAAAGAAGGGTAAGCGAATACATTTTCCCTTCAGATAGGATTTACTTCAGATAGCAGGCTGGAAAAGTTAATACAATGCCTGTTGACATAAGAAGCACTTCCTGGTTTAGTCTGCAGCCCATCGATAATAGCCAAACAAACCCTCAAGAGTTCTTCAGAACGGTAACAAATGCGATTAAATTACAGAGAAGTTAATTTTTGCGTGAAAAATCTATCCGTTATGCAACTCACTCGTGTTTAACACTAACATTGATGTCTGGAGAAAATGTCACAGACAGAGCAGACTGTGAAGAGAAACGCCCAAAACTTTTCATGAGCAAAAACTGAAACTACAGCGCACAGACCAACGAAACCGTCATGTTACTGATGTTTAGCGAACAAATACGTTCTGTTATAGACCAAACTCACCTTCCAATCGATCACAAATGGCTTTGAATAAAATAAAGCTAAAGTTCACGCTGATCTGTCTCGCTCAGCGTCTGATCATGCGCTGGTTCTTCTCTAAAGCGCGTGGCACACCCTTCTACACTCTGAAGGAATTTCAAGTATTGTCCTTTATCCTTTACCAAATTTACAACTGTAACATTTTTTTCCCACCAAATACAATGAATGGTTTATGTGTGTGGTGTAAAATAAATATTTAAGTATAAAAAGTAGAAAATGTACGGTTTACACCAAATTACTATAGTAGGCTACAACTTTTGTTAAAGAGAATTACGTAATTGTCCTTTACCCCTTAGGATTTACCACAGTAACCACAGTTTTCACAAAAGTACTGTAGTGCAGTTCTAGAATTGAAGTGTTGTCCTTTAATTATTTACAATATGGTTACCATAGTAAGTTTTGTAAGGGGAACTCATTTAAAATATCTACATTCAGTCTCTTTTATGAGTCTCTTATACATTACTTTTAAAATATGAACCTAATGTTAACCTTGCAAATGAAAACAAAGCTGTGACGGATTGACATACAGTAAGTTTAATTAAAAAAAGTATAATATCTGTCTTGAATATGGTCCATTTGGATGGCTCTTGATACTTTGAAACAAATTTCTAGATCATAGTTGTTTTATTTGTGATTACATACAATCATAAACAAGAAACGGACATGATTCTTGGGTTACAGAGTATATATAGCTAGTTAACTGAATGCTTATTATAGCATTTTTCCAGTAAAGACTTTTTCTATAATCTAAAGTTTAAATGAAATGCTTTTTGATTGTAAACACCACGACTAACAATGAAATCCCATGAATCTGTTGATCGTATAAGTTTTCTCCACTCAACCGCTCTTTCAAATGTATTCTAAACTACAAAACATACAATTTTTTTTTATCTGAAAAGTACGCATTTATGTTTGGTCACATACAAACATTTCTTTATGGTCCTTTTATGCACTGACATGCGAAAATAAAGTGAACCAGCAATAATATACGTTCTCATTGTAGGTGCACCGTAACAATTCAGTCATCGTTTGCTTTATAATGTTCAGCTATTTAATACAATCAAACGTTCTAAACCAGAAGTATTTACGTAGAAGGCTGATTGCCAATTTAAATTTTTCGCATGTCTATTCAGAATGAATGCACAGATATGCCTTTTTGTGACTCCCAAAGTAGAAACATTCTGGCTGGAAGTTGTTTTTTTCTTCTACTTTCTTATAGCAGCTAATGGCATGGACCACAGTGTTGGGAAGCATCTTCCACAGCGTCTGAGCCACAGACTGCATGTCCCCCTTCAACTTTTGAGTCTCTATCTGATCTACAATCTGGCTCTTGTTAATCGGTTTTGGGTCTGCACTGAAAGACACCACGATTCTGATGTTGTTTGGGGTCAGAAGATCAAAAAAGTTGCCACCTCCACCACTTCCATGATACTTTTTGCCAGCGAGCCAATTCCAGAGGAATATGCCACTGTGGTTGAAGACCCGAACTGACCAGGAAACCCAGTAATATTTATTCGCAAGGATATCCAGTATAAATCCAGTGAACTCTGGGTCAACGTTGGCTTGACGCTCCAGAAGTTGATGCTCCACATCCGTCTTGGCCTGCTGAGGGAAATTCTCAATGCAGTCATCCACCGCCGCTTTCATGCGTGTCTCTACGTCTTCCATGCGATCCTGCCATTTCTTCACCATGGCCTCGCCTACCGCTCCCTCTTTCAGGGCGGTGTGACCCATGACTGCTATAATTCCCATGACAAATAGCTTCTTCAATCTGGCACAGAACTCCTCCACTGGCTTCCTGCTCCTTTGCTCTGTGGTCACCACCGTGTCCAACATGGCATCTCCAGAGGTATTCTCGCCAGTTACAGCATTGTACAAGGAATCAATGTTCAGATCGCGACCAGTGTTCTCATACTGGGTTATAAACTTGTCCTTCTTCTTCTCCTTGAACTTGGGCTTAGCATTGACAAAGTCTTGAAACTTCTCATATTGACTGATTATCTTCGCCTCATAGTCAAAGTTCTGCTTATTCATGGTCGTCCGCTGCAACTCTAAAGCAATTTGGTCGATTTCATCTCGAATACCTTCAAGTGTCTGGTTGATCTTTTCAAACTGCTCAGCCAGGAACTTGGCCTCTTTGCCTTCTGGGTTTCCGAGGAGTTCGGCCGAGGCCAAAAACACGGCCTCCAGGATGGGGTGGAACTGTCCCACGGTGGCTGCTAAAACCTCGCAGCTTTGCCCCATGATTTCCACTCCTTTCTCGATCTTGTCCTTGTTCTCCAAAACCCATTCTTCCACCCGATTCATTGTGGTTCAAAGCAGAGAGGCTGTCTTATCCTTCTTACCCTTGTCTGTAACAGATCAAGGCATATATATCATAAAGTGGAAGCCACAACATAAAAATCAATACTAAAATCAATGCAGAAATTTCTAAGGGTCATATTTGTTTGCGCAGGATGGGACCTTAACAGTAACCTGAGATGAATTGGACAGCCAGACCACAGGGGCAGAAATACCAGAGTGTTTGTACATTTATACATGTTTTCCATGGGCTCGAGCCATTTGAAAAAAAAAAGAAAAAGACAAATTTCTGGTCTTGTTCGGGCATGTCCTGTTCCACCTTACACCCCACCAGCTAAGTCTCTGCAAATTATACAACAATAAAGGCAGATCAGTGAGATCAGGTGTCTACTATAAAAATTAATAAAGCAAACATGCTAAAAGTTTTTTTTGCATCAAAGCACACTTTATTATTAGTATTGTGTGCACACAGTCGTCAAGAATCGGAGAGCTGTTCACTCCCCTTCTTTGGGGAATAATTCAGCATTTAAACCCTAGATGTATAGCAAAGCAGATGTTTTCAGGACGGCTTGCTGGGAGAATATATTTGACTGCTTTAGCTGTTAAGCATTTCAGGACATTTCTGGGCACTTCCATTACACAAGGGAGATGATCTCACACTCGTATCTAATTTCCCAAGACTCAATATACAGAAAATAGGCACACCCAGATCTAAGAAAATCTGTAACCAATACACTTGTCCTGCGGTGAAACCATATTCTACACCATATGACTCAGATTTTTACATACAAAGTAAACACAAATAAAAATACAAGACTAAACCTGACATTTGATGAACATATTTCAAACATCAAACACATAATTTGGCTCTGCTGCAATAATGTCTCACATAACGATTTAGTGGATTATGTGAACAATTATGGAAATTCAGTAGCTTTTATTATGAATGATAAGCATGTAGAACTCGTATTTGGAATTTATGACTCAACAATGCATCTTTTAAAAGAGCATTCTCAATGGAATTAGGAGCAAAACAATACTTACTGAACAATACAATGATCCTGATTGTTTCAAGTCCTCCTTTGTAAGAATAATTAAGATGGCTTTGAAATTATAACTCCAGGATGTGTCCGATTTGAGAAAGAAAATGACTTCATAAGAAAATAAAATATAGGAAAATACGTTTAAAATAAATTCAGTCTAATGATTTGTATCAGAAAACACAGTTTTGATGGTTCTACTCTGTGGAAAAAAGGAAAGGAACCAACCAACTGATTCTAAAAAAGAGGAACTGTTCAAGTTCAGAGCCACATCCCTTATTTCTATCCAAATGCTGCTTAGAGCTTCGTGGCAGTCAGTATATTGACTTTAGCACAACATCCAGTGTTATATGCTTATAATATGGCAGGATGTTGTGCTTAAGTCAATATTTACTGGCATCTACATCACAATGATTACCACAAAGTGTCTTCTCCAACTCTTCATGACAAAAAGCATAGATCACAGGCCAGGTATTTTTATTTTTGTATTTTGTGACATTTTATTCAATGCTCTATAAAGTTTTTGAAGTTGTGCCAATAAAATAACAAAAAAGATGAAAAAAGAGAAAGGAAAAGATGATAAATGGAAATGGACAAAGACCAAAAAAAAAGGATACTCACCGTTAGTCTGGTGAAATGTTCAGAGGTGTTCTCTAGTGTTCCAACAGAGTCCAACTAAAAGCACCAGCCTCCCAGGGTCCACATGTATATATAGACTCTCTCCTGCGGCACTCCCCCTTCAGATTAACTCCATCCCCTGCCAGCATTCCTCTGAGCCCACTAGAAGAGACGAGGGACAGGCACACAGACAGATAACATCCTGTAAACATGCCTTCTTTGAGAAAAATCAGCATGCAGTGGTATAGTGCCAGAAATGCTTAGAAGCGTCTTTCCATTTGAAACATCCTGCATGCTCTGCCCTTCTACACGTGTTGTCATGGGTACAGACACTCACAGTGGCTTCTATGTGAGACGATATGGCAAACCGAATAAATTACTTTTTAAAATAAACTAAAATCGAAAACAGTTATTTTAAATTGTAAGAATATATCACAATATTACTATTTTACTGTATGTTTGATCAAATAAATACAGCCTTGGTGAGCATAAAGACTTCAAAAACATTATATAATTTTATATATAATACAAACCCTCTCATGCATAATTAATTAAATGACAAAGAGAAATATATTGTTTTTTTCTTTCATCAAAACAAGAATTTAATTGTTCCCATTACACATTTGTCCACTGCAATTTGAATGTGGAATTTATGCTGTCATAAAAATCTTAATGACATATAAAACTGATGCACCAGAATTGTGTGTATGTCAAAAGATAAGTAATTTGCATATAATATCACACTCTGAATGGCCCAAACAATAGTGGACACCATGCATCAAAGGGTTAAATTCATTGTTTTTATATGCAAATAAATAAACTGTAGTCTTTACATTGTTCTTCTTTTAGGAGACTTTGGCGAGCAACATGGCAATCTGAAATATGCGTGAAAACAGCCCTTGCGGGCCCAATGCTTCTAGGTCACTTCCGTCACCCTGCTTTACATGCCAAAGAAAGACTCTACTGTTTTCAGCATGGCAGGCGGACAAACCCAGAGCCTTTGTGCTGAAGCAGTCGCTGGGACATGCTGGCATGCATTGACTCGTCTGTAGAAGAACAGTGGGGGGCTGTTGTGGATTACAGAGGGTCTGGCTTTAGCATTTTAAATCTTCATGTCACTGTTAGATCTCGCACTATGCAAATCGGTTTTGCTAATAAACAATGACGTACACAGTAATGCAGGGTGTGATCTCTGGTGCACATGCATGAGAAACAGTAAAAAGGGCCCTAGAGTGTGATGTGGCAGATTAAGATCCATACTTTCCAAATATATCTATTGGAAGTGCAATCAAATGACTAATGCACATAATTTCCTAACTTTAAGAATTAAACTTCTCTTCCCATATTGTACAGGCATGAATGATACCTCAAAGTGTGCTATTACTTTTCACTATAGCATTGACTTAGAAACCACCCAGAATACCATAGCAACACTCCAGAATTAATGAAAATGTAAGCATATTGTTCGATTTGTTAATGTTTTCTTTGTCAAAGGCACATGCGTCGTCCACACACTATTAGGCAAAGATGGTCTGAAATATTAAAGCAATGAATGACTGAAAACAGCTTCCATATCTTGTAGTGTTTTAAGGTGTGTCTTCTGAATAGTCCTTCACTGTATTTGACATCCCTGCCCATGCATTATTGTTTCTAATTTAGCATGAGTCATGATGTAAAGTTATAAAAAAAAGTGGATTAAGTTTTTGCTTTGGTCTGAACAACAACAGCAAATCTGTCAGATTGACAGTTATGCAAGGTGTGCAAGAAAGGGCAGCATAGTTCAGTGCATGAATTTATCATCAATAATATTTATTATGAGTGTTGAATTAAAGAAAATGGAAAATCTGAGATGTGATTTATGCACAACACAAGTTTATTGCTTACGCTTAGGGGTTTTGAAAAGTAGCTTATATGAGCAATAGTAATAGTGTTGCTTGCCTCAGCAATCGCCAGAACAACAAGCTTTTTTGCCGCATAATTTTCTTTTTAGGTCTTATCCTCATCTTAAACATTTATTAGTAAAATCTAGGCAATTTGGTAGTTAGTGCATCTCAAGTTCAGAATCTGTCATATTTACTATGAGTAGTGAAGTGCTTATGTATGCAGCCACAAGATGTCACTTTTGTTCAGATAGATTTCTTATTTTCATGAAGCAAAATATGATATAGTATAAGAAGTCTAGCTTTTTAATGTCCATTTTACAAATCTGTACTAGTAGACAGTGAATCAGATTTTTTCTACAAGTAAACAAGTATTAGCATGCCTATTGGGAAAGTGTAAGAGTAAATTGTGGGAATTATTTTATGTGGGAATTAGCTGCAGGCCATGTTGACTAACTGTTAAGTCGAAATTATTCAGACAGGTTTGTCCTCTTAACTGAAACTAAAAGATCATTCAGGTGGGTCTTCCAAGAATCATCAAGACGTAATCATGTGGTTTGTCTTGGTTACCAAATTGAAGTTCATTCTGAATGTTTCGTTGGAACACATTCAATGCGTGCTTCATTGTAAATGTGCCAACGTCTGTCATGTGAGACAAACAAGATGTACCGTATCTGCGAATGAGGAAATATCCAATGCAAATGAGCTGTTGCATATTATTTTTAGCACTTTAAATTTTTAGCACTGGTCTCTTCACAACAGCTGTCATTTGGGAAAAAAAAAAAAAAAGATATATATATATAATTGTATTTCTTGCAGACTAATTCTCTTGAGTTTAATGCTTTGTCCATCCTTTCCTTCTCTAACAAGCAGTGTCAGGGAACAGCTGCTTCCAGATCGCAGGACGTGAGCAGAGAGCTTTCAGTGAATTATGGAAAAACGCCATTTCGCTTAAGGCAAAGGATGAACACTGCTTTAATGACAGACCTGAATATCTCTGCTTCCTCTGGCCTGGACAAGCTTCAGAGGAAATGACAGTAACTACAGTAAAAATCTCATAAAATGCCACTTTATTCCACATAAAATAGATTTTTTTTTCTTTAAAAGATAGCTGTGATAATGCATCTTTTTAAAATATCCTTTCAAAACCACTATACACGATACACAAGGACCGAATATATTTCATAAGTGTTACATATTTTTACATACAGTAAACTAATAAAATAATATTATAATAAATAATTATGATTAATTGTTCTTTATTGTACCCACTTACATACATGTGTGTGTGTGTGTGTGTGTGTGTGTATATATATATATATATAGCTGAATAAAGCAGGGGGCATTAAACCAGACTAAACAATTTGTTTAGTTCCCATCTTGACCATCCCAGTTGATGGTGAGTTTGTTTAGCAGTGTTTTGGCCGACCTCAAGTATGTCTGTATTGATTTCAGTCAGGTTTCCTAAAGCATCTCTCTCTCTGCCCTTTAAAAACCTCAACCTTATGCAAATGGCAAATGTGATTACAGCCCAGACAGCAATGAAAAGAGAAGGTCACCGCTTTGCAGTTCTTCATTAATGTGCGCCTGTTTGTCCTGTGAAGGCCAATGGAGTTAATTTATGATCATTTGTCATTTAACCTTAATTTGTTATCTTGTTCTGGTTGTCCTCATGCTCAGAAACACAGATGATTCATAGTTGTGAATTTAAAATGAATCGTTATGTGAATCCAGTGTTATTGCCTGAAGGATGTTTATTGTCATCCACATTGTTTGGGTTTTATCACAGTACAGGGTCACTTTGGTGATCATGTGATGCTCCACCCAGAACTCTGAGATAAAATGTATCGGCATGAACGTTAGACTGTCAGCACTGCAACAGACAGATAGAAAACTAGAGGAAGGCTGTGTGTTACAGATGGCTCTCGTGGTTTTGTCAGGAAAGAAGCTATAAAAAGCAGATTGTTCATTGCCAGCTGGTTAAATATTACTTCATATTTAAGCGTCAGGACTAAAATTCCCCCACCCTGTTATCCGTTAAAATATTACTTTAGTACTTATAAATTATAATAGTAGTAATACATTTTTATATTGTATAAATATATAAATCATATACATGTATAAACTTATTGATCCATAACATTAAACCTTCAACAAAAAGATGAAGAGCATCTGGAAGTCAGTCCAGGATAAATTACAAGGTAATCATTTAACAGATAAAAGTCTTTGATAAACCATTCCCAGTCTAGAGATAAAGTTCACAGGAATCCACACCAGATCTGCCCACACTTCCCATATGACCCTGTTTGTTTAACCAGTTCCTGTCGGACAAGTTTTCACTGTGTACTTTAGCCAAAAGGGTCGTTGGTTTCAAATTTCACATACAGTATGTTTGTTTGTGGTAGTCTAAAATACAGATATTATAAAAGTGTATCATAGGGATATTTTGTATGAGACATCTGTATGTAGCCTATTGCGAAATGTGGTACAGTTGTGAAATCCATGAGAAAACATTCATCTGTCTCATGTTTACCAAAGCAAGATCAACACACCATTTTACAGCTTTAACACACCAGCCTTCTTTGTGGAAGAATTTTCATTTGTATGAACCCATAAGGTAACAAAGTATTTTTTAGTGCATATCCTTTGCAGCACACAGAGAGTTGCTTATAAAGTTCATTTTATTCTGGAGTTTATTAATCCCAACAATTTCCTCCTGTGTGTTCCAGATTGCATTGATGTTTATTTCCTTCTACTTTCTCACGCACTTGACCCTTCACATTCAGATTAAACTAAACTCGCAACCCAAAATAAATAACTTTGTGTTGCGAGCACAGCCAAGATTAATCACTTCTCATGACATGATTTGTTCATCTATTTTTTTTCAGTACAATTTGAAGACTGCAAGAACGTTTTTTTTTACAATTAATACTGTATAACCAATATTCAGAACATTTGTTTTTGTTAGGACATGATTTGCTGTTACAAAGTAAATACATTTATGCAAAAAAGCACTTATTGTGCACATAAGTATACTGTATATGTACACAGCAAGTGTTTTTTGTGTAAATAAATGTACTTTTATGTAACAGCATATCACGTCCTAACAAAAAAAAAAGTTCTGAATATTGATATTAATGTTATTTATTATTCAATAAATAGTAAAATAATTAATAAAATATATAAAAAGTCTATTAATTTATGAAAAAAAAACTTATTGTGCACATATTACTGCTTATTTGCATAAATAAAGTTCTATTCAGTCTCTGAAACGGGTGAAAGCTGGTTTAGAAAAAAAAAAATATATAATATTATAATAACATATAATTATATTATAATATTATATATAATTATAATAATATATAATTAATTATATCATATAAATTAACTGAACTCTGAAGACTGATTTTGTAACGCTGTCATTGGGTGTTTTTCTGTAGAGACCCACTAGATGGCATCAATCTGCAGACCTGGTTTTAAATAACCAATAATCGATAGTGGAAAAGTGAGTATCAGTAAAAACAATTGATCAAAAAATGGTTTATATCTTCAATGCAGTTCATTCAAATAGATTGTTACATTTTTCTCAAACCTTGTGTTTATATATATATATATATATATATATATATATATATATA